CGTTTCTTCTTTTCTTCTTCTTCTTCTTCTTTCTTTTTCCTTCTTCTTCTTCTTCTTCTTTCTTCTTTTTCTCCTTTCTTTTTTCTTTCCTTTCTTTTCTTCTTCACTTTTTTTCTTTTTCTTCTTCTTCTCCTTTTTTTCTTCACCTTTTTTCTTTTTCTTCTTCACTCTTTTTTTCTTCTTCTGTTTTCTTCTTCTTCTTTTTTTCCTTCTTCACTTCTTTTTTCTTCCTGTTTTTTCCTTCTTTCGTTTTCTTCTTCTTCTTTTTCTTTTTTTTTCTTCTTCTTCTTCACTCTTTTTCTTCTTCTTCTTTTTCTTCTTCCTTCTTTCTTTTTCTTCTTCTTTTTTCCTTCTTTTTTTCTTCTTCTTCACCTTTTTTTTCTTCTTTCGTTTTCTTCTTCTTCTTCACTCGTTTTCTTCTTCTTCTCCACTTTTTTTCTTCTTCTTCTTCTTCTTCACTCGTTTTCGTTTTCTTCTTCTTCTTCACTCGTTTTCTTCTTCTTCTTCACTCTTTTTTCTTCTTCTTCTTCTTCGTTTTTTCTTCTTCTTCTTTTTCTTTTTTTTCTTTTCTTCTTCTTCTTTTAACCTCCAAATGATGAATTATTTTTACTCCTTTACTTTGTCTTAATCTTTCTTCCATTCTTTTCTCTTTTCTTTTCGTTTTTTCACCTTTTCGCATATTTTATATTTTTATGAGTTTATTGAAATTCTTTTTCTTCTCTTTTCCTTTCTCTTTTTCTTTTTTTTTTTTTTTCTAATTACTGAATTGTCTTTTTTAACCTCCAAATGATGAATTATTTTCCGACATAAGTCTGTGTTTTACTTTCGCATTTGTACTTAAAAATTAAATTAATATAAATCTTTAACTGATGAAGCAGATGAAAGTTCCGGAAAAGAAGAGAAAGAAAATCGGGAAACGATTTGTTTTTTTCAAGAGCACTTCTAGGTGAAACACAACGATAACGGAAAGTCAAATTACTACCGCTTTTGAAAATCGAGAACCCCTGACGGACCGACCCCGGTTTGTTCGGTCCAATCAGTGGTCGAATGGACAATGAGTTGGTTGGAGCTGAAAGTTGAAAGAGGTTTCGGGCGAGTTGCAGTTACGACAGAAGAACTTCGAAACAAGAAAAGCCTTCAAGAAATCACTGTCTTTTCTAAAGACAGAATAAATCATCCCGTTATAATTCAGCATGTCCCTTGTCGCATATGCTTCTTTAGCCGAACCTTTAAATAATAGACTATTCCATTTTGCCTAAAGATATTGAGGTGGTCTTCTTCCTCTTGAAACAGACGACGTTCTCCTGTTCCTCTTTTTAGCAGACACCAAGTCTAGGCAGAACCCCCTTTGGAATCAGAGGGTTAAGAAGAGGTTTGACTGCACTCTCTTTTTTCACCTTTTTTGACACCTCTTTTGAGGAAGGGTGCCCCACCTTGAGCCTAAGATCGACTATTCCATTTTAACCTCCAAATGATGTGACGCTGTCTTTGGCTTGAGGGGAAAGCAAAGAAAGGTCCACTGCCTCATAAATAATAGACTATTCCATTTTCATCGCGAGCGATCATGTGTTTGCCGATCATGTGCTTTACGAAATGGAAAAACGTGTCAGTTTCGAATTTTTTCATTTATAATCTTGGCTTTATACTTAAGATTGTCAATACAATATTTCGTTAAAGTTGGTAGGCTCAAATATTTAACACTGCAATAGAGGAATTTTCGTGTATATTTTACAGTCGTTGAATTCGCAAGGAGTTTATTGAATCATTAACTTAAGAATTATGATTCTTTAGGAAATTCAAATAGTAAAACAGTGAAATTTTTGCTGGTATTTCTAGTAATAATTAAGTCATAAACTTTATTTTTTTTGTAAAGCCAGGAGATATTTTTGAGGCATGTTTGGGATTTCAGATTTTGATTCGAATAAGAGAAAGAAAAAAAAGGCGATCATGTGTCTGTCTGCTTTAGTGAAATGAAAAAAAAATGTGCCAATCTTTTAATTTGTAACTTCTTTAAATAATGAGCTTCATTCACATTTATGATTGTTATTGCAATATTTTGTTAAAGTTGTTAGGCTCAAATATTTAACGATGTAACTGAGGAAATTCAGTGAGATTTTTTATAATCATTGAATTTGCAAGGAGATTATTCAGTCGTTAACTTAATTTAAATGGAAAAACGATTAAATTTTCAGGTGTACTGAGAATAAATTTGAACTGACCCACATATTTTTATAATGGCTACTTTGTTTCGGAAGAGTTTTAATTATAAAGTTTTTTTTTTATTGTTTTTTTTGTTTTGTTTTTTTGACAGACATGAATTATTTGAGAGAGAGAAAGAAATAAAGAAAGAGGTGTTCATGTGTCTGTCTGCTTCAATGAAATGGAAAATCGTGCCAATAACAAATCTTTTCATTTATACCTTCTTACTTCTTTAATGACCAGAATTTATATTTGATTGTTATTGCAATATTCTGATTAAAGAATACAGCAGAAAATCCAAATCGGAAAACTGTGAAATGTTCAAGTGTAAAACTAGTATATATTATACAATTTTTTACTACAATTCTATTCTTCTCATTATTATTATTATACAGCTGAATTATTATTTGATGTCAACACGTAAGAGTATTTGTCTATATCTCTGAGATGAGGTATTAGGGTTATTTTCACTATTTACATTATTCGGACTCTTATCCTCATCTTCATTGTCATATTCACAACGCTCCGGCCTTTTTCAGGTGATTGGAATCTGGAAATGAACACTTTATTTCATCCACCGGATAGATGTTTCTAGTTCCGCGTGGCATGCCTCCTCTGGATGTCTCAGTTATTTCTCTTCAACTCAACTATCCATTTTTTTTTTTTTTTTTTACTAGGCCACAAAATCTCCTGAGCCGACCAAGCATAGAAATGAATACAATATGGGAGTCCTAGAGAAAAGCAAGGAATAACAACTAAAAATTGCAATATAAGCTCTGGTAAAAAAATCCAATAATAACGGAAAAATTGCAATATGAGTACTCTTAAAAACAGTTGCCGAGACATTAGGTTTATAAGTCCCAGAAATTCATACACAGATGTCTTCAAGGTTACAAGGCCCAGTGGATAAAGGCGTTTGTTAGATCCAGTGAAAGAATTCAATAGTAGGCTACATCAGTGGGGAACAACAAAAAAAGAAAACTTGGAGAGTTGGGTTAAAGGGAAATAACTGAAATCCGGAAGAAGCATGGCATGTAGAACTAGAACAATCTACCAATCACCTGATTAAGCCTCCACATCTACGGCCGAAACGTTGTGAATATGGCAATGAAGATGAGGATAACAGTCCGAATGATGTAAATAATGTAAGTAACCTTTCGGTGTCTTTTCAGGACGTAGGCGATCATGGCTCTCCACCTCCTTCTATCCCTTGCAGCTCTTAACAAGTTCCTTCGCTCTGCTATCTCCCCACGGAAAACCACATTCTATCATAAATGAGTCGGCCATCAGTCTCATCTTTTTTTCTTTCTTTTTATGTGCCATGTCCTTTCAGGACGTAGGCGATCATGGCTCTCCACCTCCTTCTATCCCTTGCAGCTCTCAACAAGTTCCTTCCCTCTGCTATCTCCCACAAACCACATTCTATCATCCACCTTCCCGAGTCGGCCATCAGTCTCATCTTTTTTTCTTTCTTTTTATGTGCCATGTCCTTTCAGGACGTAGGCGATCATGGCTCTCCACCTCCTTCTATCCCTTGCAGCTCTCAACAAGTTCCTTCCCTCTGCTATCTCCCACAAACCACATTCTATCATCCACCTTCCCGAGTCGGCCATCAGTCTCATCTTTTTTCTTTCTTTTTATATGCCATGTCCTTTCAGGACATAGGCGATCATGGCTCTCCACCTCCTTCTATCCCCAGCTCTCAACAAGTTCCTTCCCTCTGCTATCTCCCCAAAAACCCATTCTATCATCCACCTTCCCGACTCGGCCATCAGGGTAATCTTTTTCCAAGTTGTCCTTTCAGGACGTAGGCTGCTCTCCACCTCCTTCTATCCCTTGCAGCTCTCAACAAGTTCCTTCCCTCTACCACCTTCCCCAGACCACATTCTGCCATCCACTTGCTTAAGGCCGCTTGGTATATCATGCGTTGTTTTCCCTTGTCTCTTTTTCTCTCTATTCGGCCCGTGAGTATCAGATTCGCTAGGCCCTCCTTCCTCATTATGTACCCCCAGGAACTTCAGCTGTCTCTTCCTAATGTTAAGTATTAGCCTCCTCCTTGTACGTAAACACAGAATTGAATTGTTTTGATTGATCGAAAGCAAGTAAAACGTTTACTACATTTATATGACGTGTTGTCAAACGCCCCACGACCAATGGAAGAATCAACACGCCAACGTACTAAAATATAATTTACAGGAAATTGGACTCAATATCGAAGCCGAAAGCTGAAAGTTTAAACGGGCACCTTTGAGTTGTCAGTCTCGCAAATGAGTTATTTCGACTGATGAGCGACAGTTTGTCTATTCCTTACGTCTTTATATAATATTTATTATCTTACCTGGGCGGAGTTTCTGTTGACCTTAAAGATATGAATTTCTAGAGGCGGATGTTGGTGACGAAAAAGTTAGAAATTAAGTGAGATTCCTTACCGATTTACTTGGAGCAAGAATCTGGCACATCAGTGCGAAAGACGTAAATTGGACATGATTTTCGCATAGATCAGCAATTACAGAATTGGCATCAATGAGTGATGGTCAATTTTACTTCTTGCTCTCTGTTCTTCCGTCGAGTTAGCGTGACTTAATTAAACTGTCCAAGAACACGAAGAAGCACTAATAAAATGCGTAGACGAATAATTTAATGGGAAGCATTACGGCGGGAATTTGGCGAGGCGAGTATTTTGAATCTTCATATCTGCACTGGTTGGATTGAGCGGTTTTTAAATGTAGAATGATCTAGAAAGAAAGAAATGGAGGAAAAGAAAGAAACAAACAAACAAAGATAAAAATGAGGAAAGAGAATTAAGAAAAAAATGACGAAAGAAAGTAACATAAGAAAAAATGACGAAAGAAAGAAATTAGAAAAGAAAGAGAGGAAAAAAGAGAGAAAGAGGAAATAAAAAAGAAAGAAAGAAAAAAAGGAAAGAAAAAGAAAAAAGAGGAAAGAGAGAAAAGAAAGAAAAAGAGGAAAGAAAAAGGGGGAAGAGAAAAAAAGAAATGCAGGAAGAAACTAGTAAATAGAGAAAAAGCAAAGGAAGAAAGAAACAAAAGAAGAAAGAAAAGATAGAAGGAAAGAAAGAAAAAGGAAAGAAAGAAAGAAAAAATGACGTAAGAAAGGAAAGAATGATGGAAAATTAAAAGAAAAGAAAGAAAAAATGACGAAAGAAAGAGAAAGAAAGAAAAGGAAAATGAGCAAAGAAAAAAGTGAGGAAAGTTTGAAGGAAAGAAAAATATGGAAAGAAGGAAAAAGAGGAAAGAAATGAGGACAAAAAAAGTGAGGAAAGTAAGAGGAAGGATAGAAAAGAAAAAGGTAAGGAAAGAAACGAAAGAGGAAGGTGGGGAAAGAAAGAAGAAAGAAAAAGGAAAGGAAGAAAAGAAGAAACAAAGAAATAGGAAAAGAAAGAATAAATAAAGAAAAGGAAAAAAAAGAAGAAATGAAGAAGGAAAGAGAAGGAAAAAGGAAAAGAAAGAAAGAAGCCAAGATAGATGGAAAGATCGCAGAATTGAGGTGTACAATAACAGTCTGAGTTTTAGCAAACGGCAGTGGTACCTACGGAAATAGTACACTACCATCTTGCCACTTTTTAGTATAAGGTTGCTAGTGTTCTACCAATTAAACAGTATCTGTTTTTTTTTCATAATCACGACGATCGATCGATAGCTAGATAGATAAATAAATAAATAGATCGCAGAGTTTACAAGCGCAAGAATTGGTTGTGTTCTGAGTTCAGAGAGAGAAAGTTGCACCAATCTTCCTAGAAAAGTAAATACTGGTACCAAACACATAGGTGCATTTTCTTCTAATTACATGCGCTGCCCATTTTTGTTGTTGCTACTTTTGGAAGTCTTCAAGTCATGTGATTTTTGTTATTTCATAAAGCTCTTTGTGATTCTGTAGCGCCAGCCCGTCGGGTTTGAGGATCGTCTTATTTAACAAAATGACAACGGCGAGATAACTCGTATTCAGGGTCAAAATATAAACTGCAAAGCATGTATTTCCTGCCTGGCATTTTCTGATAAATTTTCATCTGCGTGTGCCAACGAGTTCATTTACAATGATATGTGATAGTGTGAAATCTTTACACTAATTTGGTTATTATGAAGGTGTCGTTTGAAGTCAGATTTCGTCGTTGAGTCTCTTTTGATGTTTACTTCATAATAGAAATATTTAACTAAATCAGGACTTAATAAACCTTTGCGGTCATCGCTATAAAGTAAGTTAAACAAAGGCGTTAACAGCTGCACATATTTTGAGTAAAGTGATGTCTATCTGTGGTCATTGCTTTGACTTGACAAATAACTGTCCGACCCATTCAAAAACTTACTGTGTGACAAAATATATAAATAATAATAAAGATGATGGCAAAAATGTTAATAGATAATATAGGTAATAATAAACGTGTCGGAGTTAGCTCCTCCTTAATTCCCTAATTGTTCACTAGGGGTCGTTCTCCCTACACTATAAATACTGGGCAATTTATTACCTCGTTCTCTTTTTCATTTTGCATATCAGCGGACACATTTAAAAATCCGAGTTTTCGCCCAATTATAGGAAAACGCCATGGAACACACATACACGTACGTACGAACATTCACCAACATACAAACTCTTTACGTCCACACACAAACATAAAAGTTAATGTCTTTGTCACTTGTAAATTTGTTGTTTAATACATATATTTTTTGACATATATATATATATATATATATATATATATATATAGGTCTTGTTTGTCTTCTTTACATCTACGGTTGGACTCACTTTGAGTCCGCCATCTTCTTGTAGTTGGACCTTCTCGAAGGAAATAAATAGCACGTGTTTTTGATCCAACAACACTCAAACCCATACGGTCCTCTACAAATGCTTTAAAATAAATTAATGTATCTTTTTTTATTGAATTGCTTGACATCATTAATGGGAAATGTGTGTTTAACGAGCATTAGAAAGGGAATTGATATTTGATTGGAAAATGGCTATACTAGTTTCTGACTTTTCCTCTTCTTGATTAGAATCGCATTTACCTTACTAAAACAAGCTTCAATCATGTACGTACTTGGGAATGCAAAAAGCAAACGGCTCATTTGTTGCACTAAGATTAGGGTATTTAGTCGCCGAATTTACATTATCTCAATAGCTACTAAGGCTTTTACTATTGAACGATTGATTTAGCTCTACTGTCCACGCGTATACCATTGAGTTTATCTTGTAGGAGTCACTATGTACATTTTCTATTTCCTAATTAAACGATGTAACAATCCAGTCAGGTACGTGATTTTGATCAATTATTTCTGGGGGGGGGGGTATATAGTTTATTTACTTATTTTTACTTATACGTATGTCAGCATTTGGTCCAAAATGTTTAATCAGCCTCCACCGACGTTTATTGATCCCTTTAACCTTCAGCTGTTTATTGACCCACTTTTAAGCACCTACAGACATTTATTGAATCACAAAGGTTGATATCGATCATTTTGGGGACACCTGGTCAATATGAACCTGTTCCAGACTAAGCAGTGTTAAATTTATGAATAAATGCTTGCCAACACTCTGGGAGATACAAATGCGTGTGTTTCTTTTGCATGTTCATCTGTACTTAAGTAAAATCTTTTGTTTTTTTTTTAATGCAAAACATGTTAGAGTGACGACGAAACGATCGGAAGAGGGTGGAAAATAGTGTAGAAAACATTCATTGGAAGAAAAAAGTAATTCATTTACTTTTCTTGTGAATATTCTCTTCTGTGTCTCTTGTATCTCTCCATCATTTTCTTTCTTTCAAAAAATATACTGAGGAACAAAGGTAAATAAACTTAGTCACAATCGTTACGGATTTTCCTTTCGACCCAACGGGCGCCATTTTCTTCGATAATCGTCTGCTTTCTTTGAATTGATTGCTGTCTGTCGTTGTCACTGGGCAGGAAATGTGATCTGTTCATGTCGGCTTAGTGGATTTAATAGGGACGAGCTGCGATTGATGAACAACATTTTGATATTCTTGTCATTACCAAAAGAATTACTGCTTCGCCATTCTTTCTTTCTTTCATTTTTTTATTTATTTATTTTTTTTTTTTTGAACACGTTATTGTAGTTCCTTCAAATAGGTCGTTTAGTGGAAATGGAACAGAAGTATGTGTAGATTTTGTTTTGCTTATTTTACATCTATCTTTGTTGGTTTCACATAACGTTATATATATATATATATATATATATATAGTTATGCACACACACACATTTATATATATAGTCATCCATATATATATATATATATGTACACATATATATGCGCAAATACACACACACACACACACACACATATACATATATATACACACACACACACACACACACACACACACACATATATATATATATATATATATATATATATGGGGGGAGGGGAAGAAATTTTCTCAGTATGAAGAAGAAGGATTCTAGAAAAAAACTATGATGATGGATCATATTTTGGCAAGTGGCTCATTTCAAGAACTTTTCTTAACTATTTTGAGCTGGGGTATATATATATATATATATATATATATATATATATATATATATATATATATATATATATATATAATGTGTGAGAGAGAGAGAGAAAGAGAGGTGGAGAGATTTTTAATCCGATATTATTTCTTATGAATATAAACATTAGTTTTAGTGGGGTATGTGTATTCGAGTTTACACCCTTATTTTTATTTTCTTAAACCCTGAATTTAATGTCAACCGGCTTAGATCACCAAGGCATACAAAAGAAAAGTGAGCATCTCGACAGAAATTTAGGCCGGTTGAAATTAATTCAATTTTTTTGCAAAAACAAAGAACAGGGATATCAACCTAAACACGTTCATTCTGTGTCTTCATTGATCGAGTCTATGTTATGTGTTCATTTTGTTAGCATGTATGTATGCTTGTATCACAACGAAAACAATATATCACGTTGATGTCTAGCCTGATTTCACTTGCAATCTATGCAACAATGCGGGCATGTCATCGAGTGGATTTGCCATACATTAGATGTCACAGCCTAGTGATACTAATGCAGCAAGTAGTAAGCTTGCTCGTAACATATGTGGCTTTAAAATGTAGATCAATCACTGGAGTAATGAGTCCGACGTCATGAGAAACAAGAAAATCAACAGTGATACAATAAAAGTGGTCGTACTCGGACACAAGTTGACACTAATCGATTCATGCCTTTATGGATGTATGTAAGTTTTGATTGGGGGGTGGGCGTCCTGTGTTTATTTTATGGTGATTTTTGTGCGTTTAATTCTTTAAATAACCTAATCAAAAATACGTATATTGCTGTGCTTTCTTCTTTGATGTTGGTTGTATGATAAACATGAACGACGTTAGAAGTAAAGAGAAACATTCGGGTCAACTCGTCTCTTTGGTATTTGGTAGATGGGTTCATGCTCGGTCGTTTCGATTTTTAATTTCTATCTTGTTTTTCATTGGTTTGCTAGATGTGACGTGTTTCATTCTGGTATTAGTATGTGTGTATGTATCTATCAATTTCTCATTGGCGTCAGTAGTTGAAGCAATGTACAGTGTTATGTAAGTGTTATAGTGGAACACACCTATTCTATAGTTAATAGACTCTCCCACCTATAAAACTAGAAGTAGTAAGAGTAACAAGTGAGTCGTCAGGGAGTGGGTCAGTCAGTCGATGTCGGACGACCGTTAGTCAGATATTAAAGTATCAGCCACCCCAACTAGATTACTGCGTCATTACCTATTATATCAAGTTCCTAACGTTTTGTACGTCGAACCTATTATAGGACCGTCTTAGTACAAATACAAGTGAAACCACTACATAACAGTAACCTAGCCTTATTTTATACAGATTTGTATATTTGTAATAGATCTTAGCAAAATTTGAATATAATAAAAATGAAAATGGATTTACTAGTAAGAAAATGTATTGAAAGTGTGCTGATCTCGGAATTCTCGACGATAAACCTAAGACCAGGCTCGTACATAATATCAACGATCATTAAAATTAGTAGCTCAATGCAGTATACGAGCTAATAAAGAACAAATAGAGCTCAAGTCGGAGTGAGCTAATTTCCAACCCGACAAATGTTTACGGCTTCGATACGAAAAAATACTGGTTCTCAGATATAAGTTAAATTTATAGCCCCCTTTTGTAAAAAACAAAATACCAACGCACCTTCATTTCATACAGTTTTGTCTTTCATTCCTAACTGAAGACCCGGAGGTGAAACATGTCGCGTGTAAAAAGATCTTTTTTGTTTTGTTTCATTATCTCTACATTTATCCGGATTATATTTCACATTCTAATAGGTATCATACTAATAGGTATTATTATATAATACTACTAGGTATCATACTAATATATCATACTAATAGGTATCATAACGCTTAGTAAATACTGATCATTTTTTGTCGGATTTTTTAACTGACTAATTATCATTATCATATGCCTTTCTATTCGGACAAGCATAATCATCTTGGTTGTTATAGTCACCACGTTTCGGCCGCTGTACATTCTGACCATCTCCAGGTGTCAGTTATCGTACTCGGTAACCTTTTTCGGAATTTTTAACCAAACACTTTATTCCATCCATGAGAATATGACGTTCTCCTTCCGTTTTTACTGCTTAGAGGATGATTCATACCAGGCCTAGACACCCTTGTGTCGATTTCCGGTTTCTTCCATTCAAATAAATTTTCCGTATTACGTGACCTATGAATTGAACTCGCATAATAATTATAAATGTAGGGCTCTTGAGTCTTGTATTGATTGAAATACGGTTATAATTCGACAGTAAGTAACAATACGGGGATTTGTCGAAGCGTAGCTTTAGATGTGGGCCAAGGACGAAAGTATAGGGTACTCATTCAGAATCGAACACACTATTACGTCGTAATTGTTCTAGCGAGACAAGGCTGCTACCCTTTACACGACGTCGAAAAGCCCATTGACTTTCTAAGTGTAGCATAGATGTGGTACAAAGCCAAAAGTATTGGGCACCCACTGAGAATCGAACACACTATTCAGTCGTAATTGTTCTAGCCAGACAAGCTTGCTAACCATTACGCCACTCATGATAGAATATAATAAACTATAACGACGCTGGTTGTAAATAAAGTTATGTACATTTTATTTACAGAGTAGATAAAACCAATCAACGAAAAAGCTTTATATAAACAGTCAAACAATTGTAAGGAATTGCTTAGACGAAAGAATGTCAATCACCTCTCACGACCATATAGAAAACAGATGTTCACCGGGATAAGATACTGGTTTTTGTAGGCTTCCGTAATGATGAATAAACGACCTTGTGACTGAAAATGGGTGTAAAGAATATAATCCGTACTTGATATGGACCAATGTTTCAAAACCACACAAGTTTGGCGTAAGAAAAGTGCGTAGATGGATGCACTTAGTAAAAATCTTGCTACCTTTTCTTTTATAGCCTAAAAGAAATAACCTAGCAGGACCCTTTCTACATACGTGCAAACAACCCAACATAAATAATGTTTCGAATCGAAAATGAATAATTACAGGAGGCTCTTTAACACACTGACTGTCGCCAACGGCTACAATATCCTAACAAACTTAAATTATACTGTGTACAAGGTTTGCACTCCGAGGGCCCTCAAGCCAACTCAGCGACGTTCTTTTTTTGTTGGCTGTAAAATCAAACAAATTCTCCCGCGACCAACAGATGCCGTCGACCGCTTGTCAGCTATTTCCGCCGCCCGTCGCAATAAATATACGCCAATTGTGGCCATTCATCCTTGCAACAAATAATAATAGTTTTAAGCTTATAATAGCCGCTAACGAATGAAAAGATTGAAGGAATAGACAATAGAAAGAAATGATGATAAGGGGAAAATAAGATAAGTCAGACGAAAATAAACTTTAACGGACCAATGGCCAGTTTTACATCTAATATAGAAAGGTAATAAATTTATGGCTGGTCGCGTGCAGCGATCTTATTTAGCTACCTAGTAATTTAGTCTTGTGATGTTGACGTACTGCATGGTGATAGTCACAATAGTCGATTCTGTTTACATGTTCTCTCTCACTCTTTTGAGTTTGCATTTAAAACCTGAAGCAGTCGTTTGGCAATAACGAACAAATGGAATAGAGGTACAGTGTAACCCGGATATAAGAGAGTTGTCGGGACCGGAGAAGAAGTCTCTTATATCCGGGTTTCTCTTATATCCGGGTTTCTCTTATATCCGGGTTTCTCTTATATCCGGGTTTCTCTTTTATCCGGGTTTCTCTTTTATCCGGGTTTCTCTTATATCCAGGTTTCTCTTATATCCGAGTTACACTATATATTTATTTGGGTGTCCATAGCGTCAAGATTAAGTTTGTTTCGTTCACCGCTAGGAAAAAGACATAAAACGATCTCCTCATGGCAAAATTTGGATCTCCTGTCAGGAAGTAGCTGCGGTTCACTGACCGACTAACCAGCTGAATTAAATGAGGAAAAGGGCCTTGAGGTCCGATGTTAATTGTTTTTATTGTGCGTGCACATAGTAACTCCTGGTGCTGTCTCTCGATTGGTTGATTTTGTCGTAATCCAGTTTTTGATTCTCTTTCTTTTCTTTAGTTTCTTTGCTACGTCACAACATAAGACTTTACAGGTTGCGAGATAAGGAAGGAAGTCGAAAAGAATTTTTTTTGTTAAGTTCTCTTTGAATATGTGGGGTTTTATTATTTATTATATTGATTGTATGGTCATGTGACCGAGTGATTAGAACGTTCGTTTTCTGACAATGAGGCCCGGGTTCGAACCTCATTTATAAGAATGCCCATTGACTTTCTAAGTGTAGCATACATGTGGTATAAAGCCAAAAAGCATTGGGCACCCAGTGAGAATCGAACTCACTATTCAGTCGCAATTGTTCCAGCCAGACAAGCTTGGTAACCATCACACCACCTCGAGATAGAATATAATAAACTATGAAGACGCTGGTTGTAAATAAAGTTATGTCCATTTTATTTACAGAGTAGATAAAACCAAACAAGGAAAAAGCTTTATACACAAAACAAAGAGTTGTAAGGGATTCCTTAGACGAAAGACTATTTGTTATCGGTCTGAGGGAAGGGATTTTGACAGTGCCTGAAAACCATATCACGGGTTGACTCAAGTCTTGGGAGTGAAATTTTGTTGATGGAAATGTTTGGGGGGCGGTGGCGTCGATGGTTGTGTTAGCACGCAGTCACAAGTCATCGTGACGGAGGGTTTGAGCGTGCTGGCCTTGATCACGATAGATAACGCGCTCTCTCCCAGAAACTGTAACTAAGGTCCACTCAGCATAATAATAAAGTATAAACCACAGATGGACTCTGTGGGTGTTGAACAAACACAAAAGTGCCTGGTCAGACGTCTGCTATAGGGATTGGCTAGCTGCCCAAGTAGACTGGCATCCCTCTGTTTTTCCTTTAGATTTCCTTATATCGATATTAAAAAGCTTCTTAATTTATATTTATAAACAAGTACAGAGAATCTTTTAATTTAATACAAATTGAATTACGGTTAAATACGTTCATCGCAAATTATACAATGAAATCTAAGATGATTTAGGCTTACTGCCATTTTGCGTTGAAAAGGACAATCGTTTGAGCTTGAATTTGGCGAAATTACTCAGTAAAGGACACAGAACCAACAGCCAGCGTGGTGAGGAGTCTAAATCGATTAATCGTTGAAACAGCCGTTGACGATAAATTTTAGAGAATGAAATATATATATATATATATCGTAATTTTATGGCTAAAAATGACACTTGATTAACATAAAAAGCATCTTGTTTTTCTTTCTCAATCAGAATAAGAATTGTGGCTAAATGGAAATGAAATTATCGCATCAATAAAATGGAACTGATTTGCCCTTGCACGCATACTTAAGCGATTACATTTGAAAATCAATCACTAAAGTATATATGAATGAAGAGTGACAGGTTGTAAACAAGAGACGAGGAAATAACATTTCAAAGATAAAAATGCTTACGTGCTCAATGATCGTCTTGCGAAAAGAGATTGCATTCATTCACATGACTTAATTTTCCTCAAGTCCTTCTTTGAATATTTCCGCTTCTCTTTCACTCTTTCTCTGATTTTCTTTCTCTCTTTCCGTTTCTCTCTTTCCGTTTCTCTTTTTCTATATACTCTTTTCTCTTTCACATTCTCTCTATTTCTGTTTCTCATTCACTGTTTCTCTCTCTTTCGGTTTCTCTTTTTCTCTATACCCTTTTCTCATTCACTCTTTCTCTCTGTCTTCATTTCTCCTTCACTCTTTCTCTCTTTTTCCGTTTCTCTTCCCCCCTCTATTTCACACTCGCACTCTTTCTGTATTTCTCACTTTTTCTATTTTACATTTCACTCTCCTCCTCTATATATATTTCATATCCTCGATATTTCCCACTCTTTCTGTCTGTTTCGTCTTATATTAACATCTGTAATCTCTCTCTCTCTCAATATCTATATATATATATATATATATATATATATATATATATATATGTGTGTGTGTGTGTTATGGTCCGGTTCCTTGTACCACGGTGATAGTCCAAGGTAGAACCAAATAAGAACTCGAACACGGATATGGAATAACACAGATATATTACAAACAGGAATATATACAGAGAAGTAGAAAGTGTTAGTACGAACAATCAGGTTTAGTAGTAATTGTCTGAACGCGACTCTGTTTCGGACTGCCTCTGACTCGACTGACTGACTCGTTCGCTCTGACTGACAGACTCCTGACGGACTTCACTCCAAACTTCAGACTAAACAGTATTTAGTCAAAACGAGGGCATCATGTGGCACAAGGCCGGTTTAACGTGGGATCTTCGAGCCCGTGGGCTCGGCCAAAAATATACCCTTTGAATCCGTATAAACGGGTTCAGGGTCGGTTTACCTCCCCGAAAGAAACTCCGCCCTTCGGCGTAGCCTCGTTCGGGTTCCTCCCCGCCCAAAAGCAGAGAGTTCAACCCATGAATATAGCATACCTTAAAAATTACATTCCATCACATACACACACACACACATATATATATATATATATATATATATATATATATATATATATATATATATATATATATATATATGATAAAGTAAAGAAAAAATAAGAAACGTATATCAATCTAACATGTTCCATATTTATTAAAGCTTCGTCCAGTGAAGTGAAACATTTTAGTTTCATATAAGTTTTCTATTTGTTCTTTTATTTTATCATCCTGTCGGATTCTGATTTATATATATATATATATATATATATATATATATATATATATATATATATATATATATGAATGTCACTGTGTCACACGTTTTTTTTTTCAATTAAAGAGACACGACTCTATAACTTTTAATTATTACAGAAATTTTGGATTCCCAAATTTTCATTACTGCGATTGTTTTCAGGGATTTTTACTTGATTTTTTTTTTTTTTGCGACGAATTTTTTTGTACCATAACAATTTTTATAACTTAGAAATAATTTAAGAATAATGGAAATTAATTGCGAAATCCAGCAAGAGTCCTCCATGAAATAAAAATAATTGTTTATACGGAATCTAGGGACCTACGAATATCAAACTCTCATTAAATTAAGTGGTGGCAGAAGAATTATCGTTGAACTTTTAAAAGCTAAGCTTAAATATTAATGCAATACTTAAATGCAGTGATCAATTTTGAGTTCTTCTGCAGTTTATTGTTGTCTGTCACGTGCGGCATCAGTAGCTTAAAAGATTAATAAATGTAACGAGCATGCGCGGAAGCGTCCTCGAAATGCGTATGTGTGTTGTCGCCGGGCACACCTGGGAGTACCATAAAGGACTCGACCGAGTACTACAAGAAGACGCGCGAGTCGTTTGGCGTCTTTTCTTGGGCGACAAAAGCCTTTGCCGTCGGTCGTCCGTCGACAGCAGTCTTGGGTGCCGTTTTGCTCGTTTGCTGTCGTAAAGTGTTCGTTCGGAAGAGAAGGCGTTCGTTTTTGTGTCGCAAGAAGTTGGGTTTATTTTGGGGTCCCCACCACGTCTTCTCGCACATATAATAAATATATTTAAAAGCTTAATATATACTACGAATGATTGCCTTTCTGAAGCAAGATATGACTGACACAAGACAGACGACCAGGTAGGTGGACTCAAGGAAGTGGAGAGTGTTGGTTGATGCTACACTGCCAGTGGAGGTGATTCTGTCTTCAGGATCTAGTGTTAATTGATATCGAGAAGCAACATCTGCTGCTTGGCGAGTTGACAGTGTCTTCGGAAGAAGGGATTGAAGAGGCTCACGAAAGAAAGATGCTTCGGTATGAGGAACAGGTGGCTGAAGTCTGTGAGATAGGATACGGCTGCACCTTGGTGCCGTTTGAGGTGGGCTGTAGAGGATTCCCTGCTGCTTCCTTAAAGAGATTCCTCAAGTGTTCTAGTATCCCAAAGCGGAATAAGGCGATAAAGACTTGTGGTGAAAAAATGATGGAAGGCAATGCATGGATTACCCAGAAATTCCTACTGAGTCTAATCCAACTAACATAGACCGGTTGCAATGTAACACCATCCAACTGTTGCGCGGGCCCACCGTGTGGAGAGGTACTGAGCGTAATGGTCCAAAACTTTGCTGAAGCACGTCGCGCAGTTGAAGATTGCAGCTGGTCTGGAGTACTTGATGTGTACATTTGTTATATATATATATATATATATATATATATGTGTGTGTGTGTATTTAGGCAGCATCTTTTCATTCATACACGTTTCCTTAAATGTCTATAATTAGTAACAGACGCCATTGGTTTATACCAACGGCTTTCCATACTTCATACTTCTCCAATTCACTCTCGTGTGGTCATGTGTGACGTCATGAGATGCAGTGCGATTTTGGCTTCTAGCGTCTTATATGCACGTGTTTATCGTTGCTTGGTAATCATCTATGTAAACAATGACTGTCTTGTCCGTATATTGCTTATGTTGTAATTGACTTCTTTGATAAAGGCTTATGTAAGCCGAAAGCTTAGATTGAATTAAAAAATATGGATCAATATTGTAATTTTCTTTCTTCATTCAACGATAATGTTATTAAACTTATTAGACGTTATGAAAAAAATTTACATAAAATAAATAGACAACACTTGTCTATATTATTTAATGAAACGTGTATGAAAATATAATATATATATATATATATATATGGTGGAGTAATATATCCGTAACTTAGTTATTAGCTGAATTTTGATCTGAAATATTAAATCTATAATACTCAATTGTTAATGTTTACAACTAAGTGCATGGAGATGAAAGGAAATAATGTTGAATAATAGTCATAGATTGAGTAAAATGAATATTTTTGTCATTAGGCTGTGGACTTAAGTAAAAAAAAATGAATAAAATAAGCGAAAAGGGCGCCCTTTACGCTAGGCTCGTCGTTGCGGAACATGCCAAATACTGATAGACGAAATGTCGCCAACTCCGCAATTGACGTCCGTACGCACAAGTTGGTTTGGATTAAAGGCTTTCTACCTCCTGATCCGGTTGACTTCTGAGATTAGAGAACCCAATCTGCCCTACAATTGAATCTATTGCCAGGCAAAGAAACATTCGATTTTTGTCTCGCCCAGGGCCATTAATACAACAGACGCAGCTGAGATTTGAACTCATCGATTCCACTTTCACTGTCAATAGCCATTACGCTATTGGCAAATCCAGAAGGAAACGAATAATTACTCGATAAAATGATGCAAAATTCTGATTTAAACTATAATTAACTTCAATTCGAAATTCCCTAAAGATGTGCTCCTGATGAAGGCAAGAAATTACAATGGTTGAAATGATATAGTCCACATGTAAATAAATTATACACTAAATTTAAATTTAATCAAATTTTTTTCAAATCGAAAAGCAAAGGCTTTTCCGTTTTTGAATACGAGGGTGACGCTGAAAAATTTCTCTGTCCGGACCATTTCGCCAGAATTTGGGAAAGTTAGTCGAGCCGATGACTTTCAGTCCACTCTCGTATTACGTTAAGAGTGTAGCACTAAGTGAACTCGGATTAAAGGAACGATTAATCTCTACATTTAATCAATCCCGGAATTATACAAGATGTTAAAAGCAGGCGATGTTAACAGATAAGAATTAAAATCTTGAAAGCATTTTTAAAAAAATACTTACCAAAAGTGAAATATTACTCCAACTCTTTCAGTTTTAAACCATTAAATTACAAATAGCAAAGTAGACTGGAAAATATAGAGACGAAGCCCGAAGCCTAAAAAGGAAAACGAGTGAAAAGCAAATCTTTTTCAACATCCTCTGCTTCTTGTGAAATACACTTCATTCAAAGATAATCATTAATCCAAAAACTGGCGTATTGTAGACGGAAACAATCAAAAAATAATCATCTGTCAGACTAAGGATTTGTTAATGGATTCTTGTGTATCAGAATAAATTAAGAGGCAGTTGAGTGTAAATTTATTCGTTTTCTACGGCTTATCAATACTTTGCAAGATATTTAAAGCCATAAAATATTTTTGATTGTAACATTTTTGAGATATTGATATTTAGTGATACAACTCTAACTATTTAACCCGCACCTGGCGGAGAAAAGATGGGTTAATAACTTTCTCAAGGGTATTTGTGCGTAAGTGAATATAACGACTCCAACCAGAATTCGAACTCGGTTCTCCGGTTTCCAGTTCCGAGCCATTATCCATGTGGCTAATCCTCGTCGCCAAGATTTTGCAACGTACGGAAGGTTACTAAATAGAATAATCACACGAAGGCTGATAATGAACGATAATACTTAGGACACGGCACATAGAAGAAGTAGCCAACTGCTAGTAGTGAGTCAAGTGAATTCAAGAAAGAATCTCCAACTGCAGATCAACATACAGTATTTACTATTGTATTTATGTTAATTGGGACATACCCATTATCGTCCCTAGATATACTACAACAATCCATCACACGATCCGCACGTCCAAGCTTATAGCACCTGGTATTCCCAAATGGTCACCCATCTAGGTACTGACCTGTCTCAACGTTGCTTAACTTCGGTGATCGTACGGGAACTGGTGTTTCCACGTGGTGTGTCCGTAAGTTGTGTGTTCTTTGACGGGTGTGTCTCAGTGTATATGTATTTGTGTATGTTAACTCAGTAAGTTACATATTTTCCAGCAAGATGGCTGTCTAATCATCTCAAGATAGGAGTTTATACTTTCTAGTATCTATAGAAGAGTAAGAAAAGTGTTTGTTTTTTCGTCCATTTAATATGTTAGCCATTCTTCGAGGTTCTTGGTTGTTCCAGAGTTTTAATGCCTGAAGAACCGCATCCAACATTGTCCAAGTGTGCAAGTTTCAAACAATAGATGTAAATTTCTTACTGTTTTTGATGATTATGACATGATAAATATTTATCAGAACGTTTTACAACCTTCTTGGGAATTCTATGGGCAAATGGCAAAGAATGTTTGGTAAAACTATGTCATAAAATTTTGTTGAAAATATTTAGATTTCAACATTAAATAACCCCAAGAGTGAAAAAAACAAGATCTAGATTTAAAATAAAAATTCTAAGCACTGACTCATTGATTTTGTTAGAAATTAAAAAGACTCGAATTTACAAACTTTGATTAACACACACGCAAAAGCGAATCTAAAACAAAACTCGTGAAATTTCACACCTTGATGTGAAACGTTTTTCGGCCAATAGAAAACTAAGAAATATTTAAAAACAAAATTCAAATAATCTTCAATTCTCAGAAACAAAATTCTCTTACGGACCTTTTCGCGAGCCGACGCGAAATTTGTTCGTCGTCCAATGGAAAGGCCCGAATCATATCCGGGAGTGAATTCCCAAATGACCTTTTCAAGTCCCACAAACAAAAATAAAAGACGGGCAAGTTCACCTGTCACCAGCGTATTAACACGTCCCTTGACAAACGTTATGCGATCGTTATTATAATCTCTCCCTTTCTCCCTCACCTCTTTTATACTGGATAAATGAACGGAACATTTTAAGACTGAGCGATTACTTCAAAGACATTCCTACCCTACAATAACGCTCATACATACATACATATATATATATATATTTCCTGTTTACGTACATATAAATTCATTCCTGCAAGGACTACTACGAACATTTTGATGACCTTGTATCAACCAAAATACATTAATTTTATTTGTAAAGACCTAAATTGATTTATATGTATATAAATTTGTTGTTTCACTTTATAATTTGATTTTCTTGTTTTGTACCCCTCTTATGGTGGACTATCTAACTAACAAGGCCAAATCAAACTATTATGTTTCAACACTCATACACTTCACTATAACTGATAACCCACTATAAACCTACCAAAGAACGAACATAAAAGAAGTCTTTCATGATATTAATCCATATAATATCCCAGAATTTGGTAAAGGAATCAATCTTTAAAAATAACTTCAACAAAAATAGAATATAAAACACACGTATCACCGACTAGAGTAAGTATCTTCATGCAAATATGTATAAGCAAAAAAACATGTATTCAATTCTGAAAGCTGAATAAAATGTATCATATTTTTTATTACTTCAAATCTCCCAAGAAAACTCAATTTCGACATTAAATGACCCATAAAGGAGTTGATATGCCGTTAAACAAATCAACCAATCTAATGTCTACTCCAACTCTATACGTCTTCAACCTCCGTCTGAAATCTGGAATTTTATTAACTAATTGTTTTTTCTCTTCTGAATTGGAGTAGATAGGTTCGCCTCTCATCCAGTTCCCACTCCACCACTTTTTGAACACGAGCTGGACTTTATCCCTTGTCCCCTGTTTAGCATCGGGTTTCCGATTCCATCTTTAAATCTTTTCCTTCTCTTTCACTTCCAGTAACTCCTTGTGACTAAGTGGCATTTTTGCTTTGCTTCGGACGAATTCAGTAAAAAAATTATTATCTTCTACCATAAAGAATTAAAGACATATATTTTCTGAAAGATTTAGGGCCCAAGGGATGAAACGTTGTGATAACCAAAACAAAGACAAGGAGAATAGTTCCCATGTATAAAAAAAAAAAAAAAACATGCAAAAAAATCCCAGAAATTCAAACAGAATTTATTTTGTTATTTATCATTTCCAAAACTAATTACCTCTTATATCTATATTTCAACAAGGTGACGATGTCTGTGACAATCACAATTATACTGAAACAGCTCGTAAATATCATATTCCTATTTTTTGCTAAGAGATTTCAAGTCTTCCGCAAAGAGAAAAAAAATTGCTACTGTTTATACGTTGAAACAAATACGCTTGATTATTTGAAAGAGTGTGAAACGCAGCCAAAATGCAAAGATCCC